ACCTCATCAGAAGGAAGGACTCACTGGAGAAGAGCCTCATGCTGGGAACAATGGAGGGCAAAAGAAGAAGGGGACGACAGAGAGTGAGGGGGCTGGATGGAGCCACTGAAGCAGTCGGGGTGAGCTTCAATGGACTCCAGAGGATGGTAGAGGACAGGAAGGCCTGGAGGAACATTGTCCATGGGGTCACGATGGGTCGGACACGACTTTGCAACTAACAACAACAACAACTAAGTAAGAGCTTCAAGGATTTCTTATAGCTCGGCAGGAATCCTATCGACCTTTTGGAAAACTCTCAAAATTTGTTTTTTTCAGCAAACCTCAAAAAAAAAAAGGAGCCTACAAGATGCTTCCACGATGGGTGAGCTTTCCAAACACTCTCTCGTGATTTTGTTTATAATTCCATTGCTTTTAACAGCTATTTAAGATGTGGTTTTTGCTTGTTTTGTATTACAGGTTGTCCTCGAGTTATGACCTCAACAGAGCCCAACATTTAGGCCGCTAAGTGAAATATTCATTAAGTGAGTTTTTGCCCCCTTTTACAACCTTTCTTGCCACAGTCGTTGAACGAATCGCTGCAGCGGTTAAGTTAGCCACACGGTTGTTAAATGAATTTGGTTCCACCACCCCCCTCGACTTTGCTGGCCAGAAGGTAGCAAAAGGGGAATTACATGACCACGGCAATTGTCATAAAGGTGAGTCAGTTGCCTAGCGTCTGAATTTTAATCACATGGCCAGGGGGATGCCGCGATGGTCGTAAGTGTGAAAAATGTTTATAACTTTTTTCAGTACTGTTGTAACTTTGAACCATCACTAAATGAAACTGTTGTAAGCCAAGAACTACCTGTATTCTGTGCTGCCCAGTCACATTTGTGAGATTTGGGGGGGAGGTAGATTAATTTTAACAGATTTAACAGAGTTGGAAGGGACCTTGCAGGTCATCTAGTCCAACCCTCTGCCCAGACAGGAGACCCTACATCTGCCTCTACCGAGGATCGAACTCACAACCTCCCAATTGTGAGGCGAGAGCTCCACCTCTAGGCCACAGCATCTATACCACAGCCCTGCAGAGCAGGCTGGCATGATTATGCCCAGTTAAGAACAGGGTGGTTCAAGGTTGCCCCAAAAGAGCCCAGAGGAAATAAAATTGGACCTGAGACCATGATAATTTTCTTCCTCACCGACCCCTGAAATTCTGAAAAATCAGCTTTTATCCAGATGTTTTCCGTAAGGTGCCAGTTTCAAGGGGGAAAAGGGTGCCCGGGTTCAACCAAAACTCCCCCCTCCCCCGCCCAGGCTGGCAATCCGAGGCTGGGGCAAATTCTCCTTCCTGGTCGGGGGCAAATCCAGAGGAATCTCTCAATCGGCAGAAAAATGCTCCGAGTGAAGACAGCCCAGCCTGGAGGTCTGTTTGTGCCAGGGACGCTGGGGGGCACTTAGTTAATGCATTACTGGGGACCTCTAAGTCCTTTCTTGGAAGCCGGTGGCATCAACCCCCCCCCCAAGCCCGGGTTTCCCCCCTCTCCCTCCCTCAAACTCATGCGTCTGTTATTTTGGATGCAGGCCGAGCATGCCAGGGCTGCGAGCGATGGGCACGGTACTGCCGTGCTGCACGTTGCTCCCCCAAGCCCGATCCTGTTGCAGCAGCCGGTACGCCTCTCCCTTGGCACCGGTTGCCCAGGTTCGGAGGACCCCCCCAAAAAAACCCCTACCACCGGAGCGCGGATAACCCTGTGCATGCCCCCCCCCCAAATACCTCTATCTGATGAATGCAAGGCAAACGCCCTGCGCCCGATCCAGCCGCCCAACTCGCGCCCGACTTGCGCTGCGCTACGCGTGCCGCGGCCAACCCTACGCGCGGATTTGGGGTTGGGGACAGTCTTCCGACTACCCTGCCCGGACTGCGCGTATCCAAGGAGGGATGCGCGCATCCAAGGAGGGATGCGCGCAGCCGGGCAGGAGAACCGGAGCCCCCCTCCCGTCCGAAGGAAGCTTGGCACGCATTTTAGCATCGGATGGAGAGCAGCACCCGATGGGGGGCTCGCGCCTGGACTCAGCCCCCAGCCCACCCCGGTCCCCGATGGCTACGCAACCCCGGTCCCCGTTGCCCGGGCTCACCTGCTCCTGAACGAGCTGCCGCAACGAGCTCCTCTCCATATACCCGCGGCTGGCGGCGCTGGCGGCCGAGGAAGAGGAGGAAGAGGAAGGCACCACCGGCGGGGAGCCCAGGATAAAGCACCTTCCCCTTCCCCGCCGCCGCCGCTGCCGCCGGGCAGGTGATCCAGAGCCAGAGCTGGCAGCAGCAGCAGCAGCGGCGGCCGGGGCTCCAACGTGAGTGGCAGCCGAGCGGGAGGGGACGGAGGGAGGGAAAGGGAGGGGAGGAGAGGCTACGACAGCCGGCGGGCGGGGCCGGAGAGGGCGTTGCGCAGGGAAGGGGGGAGCCCTGGGCTCCTCCCCCGAGCCGGGCGGACGGGGCGGGAGGGGGACCTCAAGTGAATGATAAAATAATAAGAGGTGGAAGGGACCTGGGAAGTCTTCTAGTCCGACCCGTCTGCTCAAGCAGGAGACCCTGCACCATTTCAGACAAATGCCTTGTCCGTCTCTTTTATAAAGCCTCCAGAGCTTGTTGGATCCGCTGTTCCGGGAGGTGGGGAGGAGGAGGGAGGAGCAGAGAACTCGGGAGGAGGAGGGGGAGGAGAAGAGGAGGCAGGAGCAGAGGAGTTGGGAGGAGCAGAGGAGGGGTGGAGGAGAAGAAGAGGGGAGAAGGAGGGAGGAGGAGAGGAGGGGTGGAGAAGGAGAGGGAGGAGTGGAGGAGAGGAGTGAGGAGCAGAGGATGAGGGAGGAGCAGAGGATGAGGGAGGAGCAGAGGAGGGAGGAGCAGGGGAGAAGGAGGGAGGACAGAAGAGAAGAGGGGAGAAGAAGGGAGGAGCAGAGAAGGGGTGGAAGAGGAGAGGGAGGAGTGGAGGAGAGGAGGGAGGAGCAGAGGATGAGGGAGGAGCAGAGGAGTTGGGAGGAGCAGAGGAGGGAGGAGCAGGGGAG